CACACACACACACACACACACACACACACACACACACACACACACACACACACACACGGCAACATCAAGGTCCACAACGAACAGGAGAGATAATGACGGCGAAGCCCCACAACTATCCACATTGATAACAACAGTAACGGCAACAACAGCAGCAACAGCAAACATGATAAAGAAGACAGCGAGAAACAACGACTACTATAGGAGCAGCAACAACAAAAACGACAATCACCATACCCTAAATAGCAACAGCAATAAAACGACAATAACAACAACAGCAGCAGCAACAACAACAATAACAACAACAACAACAACAACAACAACAACAACAACAGCAATTACCTCAACTTAAACAACAGCAAGAGCAACACGTTTTACAACAACAACAACAACAGCAACAACAACAACAACAACAACAACAACAACAACAACAACAACAACAACAGCAATTACCACAGCTGAAACATCAGCAAGAAAGACAATTATTACAACCATAACAAGAGAAAAAAAACCTAATAACAACAACAACAACAACAAACAATAGCAATTATCATAACTTGAACAACAGCAAGAACAACAATTACCTCAACCAACCAAAACAACAACAACAAAACCACCGCCATCAACAACAACAACGGCAACAAAAATAATAACAGCAACAAATCAGCATAAACAAAAAGAACCAAGACAGCATTTTGTTTACAAACTCAACAAAATCTAGACATAATAATCAGATAGATTCCCGTGAGAGTTCGACTGACTAAAGTCTGTATGGCTGTAGGTAGAGTTTCCTATACATCTCTTGCTTTCTTTTAAGCATAATCATTATCATTGTTCACAAACACAGTTTGACCAAAACAAACATATGAAACGGGCTTACTGTATATGATAATACATCTCTTTAGCGTTCTATTTAACATAATATTGTCCATTAACACAGCTTGATCTAAAACACACAAATGTAAAATGCGTTTCCTATATAGATCTATGTCTCTCTGGCGTTTCTTTTTTTAATATAATATTTTTATCCATAAAAACAGCTGGACCCAAACAAATGTATAAAATGTGCTTCCTATATGTCTCTTTGCCGTTCCTTATAACACAATAACATTATTGTCCATAAAACGCAGCTTGACCCAAACAAATGTTTTGAATGATTTTCCTCTATCTGTCTGAAACTACTTTCACATGGATTAGCCGCCTGCTATGCTGTTCAGACTTTATGTGCTGGAATATGGGGTGTGTACATTAATAAGTAATTTTGTCACGTTGATCACCAGTTTTATTTGAGTAGCGCGGCCTTAATCATCTGTAGTGTTATTAATTTTTTTTCCTAGTCCCTCAGATGCTCCATAAAAGAAAACTAGACAGGAGGCGTCCTAGTTTTAAATGAATCAGGGATATAAGATGCAGAAACATAAATGTAAAACTGATTAGTTTTTTACATTGATTTACCGCTTGCAATGTTATTGAATTTGTATGACATGATGCATGGGACAACAAACCCCCCACCCAAAAAACAAAAACGACAACAACAGAAACAACAGCAACAACAACAACAACAACTACAACTACAACCAAAATAACTACAAGTCAGCACAAGGAGAAAGGACTAAGACAGCCTATTCTGAGCAAACTCAGGAAAACACTGACACATGCAATTATATTCCAACGAGAGCTGAAACGACCGAAGTCCGCATGGTTGTTGGAACATCTAAAAAGGGCTTTTCAACATACTCCTCGCACAGTGGCGACCGACAGTGGCATAGTTGTAAACTGTTCTGTATTTGTGTAATACTGTGTATTTATCCATGTATTTATGCATGTATTTATGTATGCACGTATTTATAATTATGTATTTATGTATGTATAACATGTATGTTTGCCATTGTAAACCAAAGTGCCCTTCTGGGACAACTAAAAAGTGTAATTTTCATTTTCATTTTTAAATTCATTCTTCCACATGAATGAACCTTCTGCTATGTTGCACAACAGCAAACAGAGACAACGAAAAACAATGACAACAACAACAGCAGAAAAACAAAACCATCAACAACAGAAATAAAAATAACAACAATTACCACAACAACAACAACAACAGCAGCAGCAGCAGCACGAACTACAATAACAACAATTAGCACAACCACACAAAAAACCCCAACAAGACAGCACCAGTAGAAAGTAAAGGACCCAGACAGCCAACTGTTTACAAACTCAACAAAACTCGTATGACAATCGGCCAACGTATCTGTAAAATAGGTTTCTTCCTCTCCCCCCCCTCTCTCTCTCTCTCTCTCTCTCTCTCTCTC